CTGTATTGAGTTAGGTTTGTTAATTTAGGTTTCCTTTTTTTGAAAACACCATGTTTATTTAGACCAAGGTCACCACTGAGTAGGCACAAGGACAGCATAGGGACTTCAAAGGCGTTCTTTGAATAAAACTTCAGTTTAACATGAACATTAATTTTGACTTCAGTGGCGTGGTAGGCCGCGCAGGCAAACGAAGACGCATATTTAGCTCAGCTTTACACGGTTTCAACCTTGTGTGCATAGTCACTGACACCTTCCAACCGCCTGCTAGGTAGGCACTCCAATGCACGCGGCGCTTTTCGTATCATTTAGACCGTGAAGTGGAGGGAAAGGACAGGGGTGGCTTGGGACTAGGGCCGCGGCGCTTATCGTCCGGGCCTGCGGCGCGTGCATTTAAGGACCGGCCCCCGTCCAGTGACTTGTCATGTCAGCTTAGCGCAGGTAGGCCCGGCGCTTTTCGATGCTCCCCGTGCGGAAAGAGAAATGATCGCTTGATGAATGCCGGTAGTATGTCACCCCAACCAACTCCCTTCCCCGCCACCTCCGCGTCGTCATCCCCGTAATCGTCCCGGAGGGGGGACGGGAGGGGGGCGTGTGAACGCCGGCAGGCCTCCTCCTGGCGACGCCAGGAAGGGGCCGCGATATCTATTAGAGGCTCCTACTTAGGACCGCAGGGCTAAACCGCGCCAACGGCGGGGCGCCGCGACCTAGCGGGGCGCTTGGGGTTCTTTCCGCCGGCGGTGGGGGAGGCCCGCGGGGAGGCCCGCGGGGAGGCCAGGGGAACGGTTAGTAGTACAGCTAGTGGCAGACAGACTGTCAGCGCGTCGTGTATGAGTTTTGCCAGTCTTGTTATCCTTTGGGTCACGTTGCAAAGGTGTTTGACGGCATGCTCACTCCAAGAGTCGCTTGCTTGCCTATGTGTCGTACGCCGTACGCGTGCGTGTCTACTCCGGCCCCGCTCCACCCCGCCCCGCCACACCTCGCCATGTACAGCAAGGTGCAGGTGCCGCGCTGGCTTGAGCGCGCCGTCACGTCACACACGCGTTGGGCGGGGTGGGGCGGTGGCGGGGCAGGGTGTGAAGGGGGAGCAGAGGTGAGGGTGTTCTTTGTTCGCCTGCTTGTCAACATAACGCACACTACGGCCGGCGCCCTGAATGCGGAGGGACGCTGCCCTCCCGCCCCCCGACTACTGGGCGGGCAAGCAGGGGGCCGGACGTGGGGATGGGGAGACGGGGTGAGCAGGTGGGTCGCGCGCTCTGCAAGACGGAGGAACCACATGGCGCACTCGTCGATCACGACAAAGTTTCGGACGTTAAAGAACCACAGAACAGGGGGGAGGGGGGAGGTCTCGGGGAGGCCAGGTCAGACCAGACGCAGTTGTAAACCGCCTGGGAGGGAAGGTTAGGCACCGTGCGCGCACGCCTACCCCGCATGGAAAGGCGAGGCTAAACCGCGTCTGAAAACTGTCCGAGCTTCCTAGACATTGCTTGCACGCCTGAGTAGACGCGATTCAGCCAATTTTCAGACGACTTTTCTGTCTGAAACTTACCCGACTTTTGAAGTAGCCGGCGCTGCAGACTGCAGCGCCCATGCGCTGTGGCCGAGCTTCGTGAGGACATATGGCTTGGCTGAGCACACAGCCACCTCCGGGCTGTGAGCGATCTGAGGGACAGCTTCCCACTGTCCGGAAGCCTCATGGGAAGGAAAATGAAACTGGCAGCGACCGCAACTGGCCGGCCGGTGAGCGGGATCGAACCAACAGCCTCCGAGTCAAGAATCGTTCGGCTAGCACGCTTGGCCAGAGCGCGCTCGCTCCCGGGGAGAAGCGAACAGCGAACACGTTCCTCCTCAGCGCGTCGCGGGAGTATATCTACTTTGTGCTTTTGGTGAATGATCAACACGCCAGCATAAGTCAGCAGACGCCGGAGCAGACTATTGCAT